AAGAATATTCAGGGAGGTTCCTTCCTTTCTACAAAGTGAGATCATTAAAGAAGAGGCAACTGAAGAGGTTTCTGAACTTCCTTGTTTAAAAATATCATAGGCTAAGATAATAACAGTAATTTAACTGGCTACTTATTTTTGCACAACTGCTGGTGATGCTTACATTCAAACCTTGTACTAAATTAGGAAATGGAGATTGTATTTGGAATAATACAACATTTAAAATGGTCAGGCAACCATGGAGATGCAAGATCCTTACATCATAGAAACATAGAATCATAGAATGGTTTGGGTTGGAAGAGACCTTACAGATCATCTGATTCCCACCCCCCTGCCATGAGCAGGGACACCTTCCACCAGACCAGGTTGCTCAGGGCCCCATCCAACCTGGCCTTGAACACTGCCAGGAAGGGGGCAGCCACAGCTTCTCTGGGCAACATAGATTTTTACTTTTAAACTTATCTAAAGAAAGTGGAAGATACTAAAACAAAAATAAATCTAACATCACAATAATATATAAAGGTTCATTTAGAAGCCAGAGTAATCATTCATTTAATGAACACTGATTAGCTCTGTTCCTAGGAGGAAGGAAAAGAGAGGTGCATTTCATTTGGAGACAGAGCTTGCATATTGGAATTTCAGGTACGGTTGTGTTGTATTCAGATATCCCAACACACATGGGGTTCAGAAGGCATCTAATTCCTAACAAGGCATTTTTACTGATTTAGCAGTTTCTAAGTCATTTAAGAAAACCCTCCGGAGCATGTCACTGGAGCTTTGCACTGCGGATCAAAGGATTCTGAGCTTACTGCACCATCTAGTGGCAAAGGGGAGAAAGTGCAAGAAAATTATTTTCAACTATCTTTTCATGACGTTACTTATTTTTTTCCTTTAACAGATTAATAAAACACAATTTCGTCACCTCCATAAGTTGCAAAGAGCATTCAGAATCTTATTATGGCAACTCTCACAAAACTTCTTGGATGTTAGCATTTTTCCCTATGTTAGTACAGACACATAACTGAAAACTTCCTTTACAACTTCTGTGTTTGATATTCAAAGTTGCTGAGACTGGTGTAAATTTTACCTTCTGCACACTAATAAGTAGATCAACCTTTAACAGAAGTTCGTAGCTTTCTAAAATTAAGCATTTTCCAGAACTGAGTTGAGTGTATAGGAAATCCTACAGGAAGAAATGTAGTAGAAAAGTAGAAAGTTCATGCAAGAAATCTGAAGTTATGAAAGTAAAAATCACGGTGAAAAGAGGGTCTAGTTTTCAGTATAACTGTGCTTGCTCATTACTATCTTCTGAAAGGAAGCAATGTGGCTATCGCACACTAGATTTTAGGTACTTTAAAGCTAACAAGACATATCAATATTAAGAAAACTATTCACATTCTTAAACAATGCTTATCATAATTAGTATCTGAGAGTCTCAGACATTTTCAGAACGGATGAGGACCATATTTCTGATTATTCAGCACATCAAACAAGTGTAAGGTCATAAAAGAAAATCCTCTTCATAAAAAAACTTCTGAAGCAACCAGTAATGACAAGCTTCTCCGGGATATTTCTGGACTATATCAAATCACATCATCTGGAATACGAAATTACAGCGAAGTTCTTTAAGAATTCGTACACAGCTACTTGAAAACAAATTTAAGATGTGTCTGTACTATGCAACACAGTACCATGTCAGGCATTTTGAATCACACAAGTCTTCAAAAAGATGGGCTGAATCTTTCCATCCTGAGGGTTAGAAAGTCTTTGAAGAATGGAATGTTTTACTTGGAGATGTACAAAGGGGTATACACAGTCCCATGGTTTCTTGGCCTGAACTGCAACCATCCACCAGACTTGTAGCTGTAATGAGGCAAGTCTGTGCTCAAGCTGTCAAGCCGGCTTATGGATGTACACCGAGGTGTTCGCTGCAGACTTGGGAGCACAGGCAGGGTTATGGTAGCAAGCGCAGTCTGCCTGTACAGACAAGGCATAACACCTGTGGCTTCCAGAGATGGCTGTGGGCACAGCTCAGGTATGGGAGCTGCCCCCAGCCACTCTGAATTACACTGCATTCTGATTACACGGGCTTTACAGATTTCTTTCCAAATGAACACAAATGTATGGAAACGAGTAACTCTATTTCCTCTGCCAGACTCGAGTCACTTAGGAAAAGTGATGTGATTAAGATGGGTATGTGGCTTGGCCCTGGGACAACACTTTGGTTCGAAAGCATCTTAAATAGATTATTTTTATGCTTAAACATTTTTCTTTTACGATACTAGTTCAAACATAAAAATGTTGGGCAAATCATCGTGTCATCAGGGCATTTTGCAGCCACTAAACACAAAAGACTGCCTCAAAAATTTTTTGGCAGGTGCACCTTGGTGCTGCAGACCCTGCAGTGAAACTCAGGCAGTGAAACGGAATCAGGCAGTGACCTGATGCCAGGCAGTCAGCCAGCCACCCCCTGCTCACGCGATGTCCTTGCTGGCTGGTCAGACAGACAGTCCGAGTGACACAGGAGGTCATCTGACTTTGATTTACACACATCTCCCCTTTGCACCAAATACTCTGCCCTGTTTTCAGAAAACTGGGGCAGAGCGAGTCAACCTTTCCAGTGCAAAAAGCTCTCAGTGGAGTTCCCTGGCAGCTTTATCCCACTGCAATTGCCAGTGTCTTCTCACTTGTAAGACTAGAGTCGACAGGCTGTATTTGGGCCCCAGCATTTGTTATATATCCTCAGAGCAGGATTCCAGCAGTTCCACCTCTCAGACAAGGCAACAAAATATTTGAATTGCAGGCACACTTACCCAGCAGATCTTTAAAAAACATTATTTTACATTTTCCTTGGAAGGCACGCTACGGGTTGAGAGGCAGTGTGCCTCAGATTTAGCCATTATTCGGTGCAGTCATGTTTACCCAATACTGCTGAGAGAAGCGTAGAATACTTAACGATACTGGACTATAAGATAAAAACCTGATAATTGAAGACAACAATTGATTCTGAATGGATTTTGGGGAGTTTGGAATGCTACTTCACAACTATGTGGAAATCACCACGAAAAAAAGCATCTGTACAGAGATTTCAGTGAATTCCCCAAACTAAAAGTGAATCCAAAGCAGGTATTTTAGATAGGAAGAGTACCACAGTGCCATGACTCTAGCACAAGGTTTACTCCAGCCTCCTGAGCTAATTCTCTGCTGAAGGTGAAAAGACAGGACATTGACTATGAGAGAAAGAAAGCAGCAACTTCAAAGCTATCTGAAGAGACAAATCACTGACTTTAGATTCAGTGGCAGGCATGGGACACTGTGAATGTGAAGGAAAGGAGGGAAAGGAACAAAGACAGAAATCCTCAGGCTGAGGACAGAATTTGCAGAGGTCCTCTCTGTGTAGCTCCTCTCCTTCCGTTGCTTCAGAAGGCAGCAGCAAGTCTAATTTAGACTTGGAGGTGTTTTAAGGCAACTGTAGACGTATGGGGATCCCCTTCCCCTCACTACACAATAAGATTTTTATCATCATTGCTACATCATCAGCTTGGATTGTGCAGCCTTCCTTGGAAGTCTCCATTTGTGAAACAAAGTATCTATTTTTGACTTTTATGAATAAGAATCTTAATACTCAAGGAGCCCTAGAAGAGCAGGGATGTTTCCCTTCCAGGCAAGAAATTGCTTTGTCTGTGATTGTCCCCTGAGGTTACGCGGAGGCCACATGGAGGTAATCCCTTCCAAATAGCTAAATTGATCTACTACAGCATAAGAAGATATATCACTGCTTGACACTGTTGGATCCTGCAGTAGAAGTTAGATAAGCAACCTGGAAAGCTGCTAAAACATGAAAAGACGAATGACATACAAACTACGCCCCAGAACAACAAGGCCAGAGGACAAAGATAAATTCACATGGCTGTTCCATGAAGGCTCAATGAACACCAGCTGCATTCACATCAATCTTTAATAATAAACATTTCCTTTCACTTGTAACCGCGCTGTAATCACTCTGCTAGGCAAACGATGTCCATTTCACAGGCTTTGAGCACCAGAAGGAGCAAAGCCCATCTGCCTTGTTTGCTGCTTAGTTAATTGCCTGAATAAAACCATTACCCAGAACATCACCACTTCTAGTAAAAAAAAAATCTTCTTTTTTCCCCTTCCCAGGCCTAGTAGAAACTTAAAAAAGGAAAACCATCATGCTCATCACTCCATTTATTCTCAGTTCATTAAAGAAGTTATAGGAACATCTTGAAACAATTGCAGTCTTCTTAAAGAGCAAATGTGATTTTCAGAAATGGATTTCTTTATGGTTAATACACAGGTTCATCTTGCAGATAAACATTTTTTGCCCAGCAAGATATATCAGAGGACATCAGATACACATACAGAAAAACCTTCTATATTTTATAAATAGTTGCCTTAGTAAACAGAGAGATGGGATACAGAATGATCCATCACTCTGAATTGCACCAAAACCCACAGAAAACAGCAAGTGCTTGAGTCGTAAGGATCTGAATAGTGGCAAATGAGCTCCCTTTCCAGGCATAACTTCTGACTTTGACGTAGCTTTTTGAGAGGTACACAAACCAGGACTCCATCAGATGGTTACATTTACAGTATTTTTTTTTCAATTTCTGAACAAGGACCATCAGGAAGGGAAGTCTGCCATTCCAAAATCACCATGATATTGAGCCTGAGAACCTGCATTATTCCTTTCTCAATGTACAGAAAAAAAAGGCTTATTTGCCAGGAATGACTTTTGCTCAAGCAAAAATTTCACTCGGAGCAAAAAGCTCACATCTCAACACAAAGCTCTGCTAACTAAACCATTACCTGTTACACTGCAGTGAGCCTTAAAAACCCATCACAGAACAATCGATCTGCAGCGATACCCTTCAAAGAGCAGCATGTCTGTTTGTACAAAAAAATAAGTTTCGCAAGCGTTTCATGCTGCATGTTTTCTCGTATTTGAGGACCAAAGCCACAGTGAATATCGATCCTACCTTCAAAGGAGAAATGTGCGACTGTAAGACATATCCATGGACATTCTCTATTTGAGACAGGTTCTTCTCTGACACATGAACAAGCTCTGGGCCTCTCACTTCGTGGGTTAATCGAGGCAAAGTATGATCATGTGGAGCATCCTCATCTTGATAACGATATTTCTAGAGAAAAAAAGATAGCAAGGAAGAACAAATAAGCTTTGAGGAGGTAGTATACATGTACTAATGTAAATACGGGATAATAGATAAAGTATCAGACATTAGACAATATAACTGTCCAGTTTCCCAATCTTTCTTGGAGACAATACTTCATTATTTTTTCAACTTTTCATCAAAGAGAGGAAATATGGTATACCACACTGATACACAAAGGTTTCACCATGAGACCTCTGAGATGACATATTGGCAAGGGTTGGTAATGAAAAAAAGACATGTCGATCAGCTGAGCTGTAGCGTTGCCTCACATTTCACATCCCCACATTAATATCTCTGCATTTCTATAGCCTTTCTCCGCAAAATATTTGAGTCATTTTCCGTTTAGCACCACATACTCTGATGCTGGAGAGCACACATACACTTCCACAGCGCCTCAGGCAGGCAGAAAATTACTCTTTCAGTAAAGTTTTTCCCTTACCCTGCGGCTAATTATGGTGTGAGTTATTATAACTCCCCACTCCACAGAGAGGCAACGTAAGAGAGCAGCTTGTCCAAGATCCAAAATGAAGCTTGTAAGAACAAGGAATATAACTCTAAAAATTAAATTAAATTATGACCCCTGTCCTTTAGCTGGAATCCGTTTTAAAAAGGCACCTTCCACTTGGGTGGTGGGCCCAGATGGATATTGTGGTGGGGCCATTGGAGCTGACTGGAGCTGGCTGGAGCCTCTCGTCACAGAGATGCCTGCTGCCAAAGCCTTGCCCATTGCATCCGACACATGTACACACCGCTGTTTTGAGGGAGAAGCCTACTAGATGAATGCACATGGAGTAACACTGTGGTGGGGGTTGTTGAGATGTTACAGCAGGGAACAGGAGGAGGAGAGCACAGTGTAAATCAGAAAGGGAATTCATAAATCTTTGGCAATAAGTGAGAGGAACATAGTGCTGTTGTAAATGCCATTTTCATCTGACAGCAATATGTTAAAGTGTTGGAATGAGCAAAATCAAAGACTGAGACTTATCTGGAAGGCCATGTAAGAAGTCTTCAGTTCAGGTATGCTCACAAGGACATTGCAAAGCAGACCTCTTGTCCTCTCTGCTGCTTCTGCACTTCTCCTTGACCACTCAGCTCTGGGGTGTTGTTACTTCATTTACTCATCCCTCCAAGGGAAATCATCACAGTTTATTCCTGCCTACACTCTCATGTATGGAAATTGTTCAGCAG